CTCGTGGGCTCGTAATCGCCGTTGCAATTTCTTGTATATATTAAACATTACCTTTATTACCAACAAATAGCCATATTCTCACCAATTAATCTATATGACCTTACTGTATTGCGTCGCTGATAACGTCGCCGAACCACTTTCAGTTCTTCAGCAGCGGAAGGCGGTCGTCGCGACTTCGTACGCTCGTTATCAAAGAACATATACACCATGTCCAACAAACGACGCTTGTTGACGCTGATATGGCTCAAGCTGTTCACATACCTGACGATCAGATCACGAGCAGCGCGATTATATTGATCTGTGAACACAGTCAAGAAACAGAAACCACGATCACCCAGGGTACGATTGTAGTCGCGGATGGCCTCCTATCAAACACATCATAGTCATCAATGTACTGCTAATCCATTGCTCGCCGTTGTATAATTGTTTTCTACGGAAATAGTTGGCAAACGGCCTGGCGTGCTCGCTGTTTGGACCACACCGGGTTCTTGCTGCCCATGCTCAGGACGCGCTTCGGACAGGCGCGAAACTGTATCACCTATCGACGTCATCCGTTCGAGCAGCAACCTGTTTTCCGTCTCCACCCTTTGCAGCCGTTCTTCTGTCAATGCACGCTCGTAAGCAGTAGCATTCTCCTACTGGATGGCCACACGACGGGATTCTGCTTCGCGCTCTCTTTGTGCGTTGATTTCACGTATGGTAGGCATCTATAGGATAACTTAGTACATGCAACGACAATGTATTGCCAGCAACTCTCTATGCTTACTTTGGTTGTTAGCACTAAGCAGTTCGATATCAAGAAAGGGATCTGATTCAGGAAAGTATATTTTTGAGAGCGTCTTTTATAATGACTTTATGTTTTGTCACTCAATTAGTTTATATTTGCTGCAGATGAATACCATTATTATTGTTTGCAGTCGGACCAATGTGGATCGGATTGGGGTTGGTCACGACGTAGTGCACTGTGTATTCATTCTTACCTTTTTTAAGGGCGTATTGGATTACTGCTCATCGACTATGGGTGCTACTATACATGCTCTTAGGAATGTAGTAAATTCAAGCGACAAATTGCCAGCAGCAAATGTAAATGGATGGCGTGGTTTACGATAAAGGTTCGTAAAAGTTATGGTATGATAATAAAGTAGCACAATATGGATTGTGTTGGGGGACTAATCAACGATCTCACTTGATGCTCTTCCTTGCATACTTGGACTTCTTTTGTGCATTGTTTCTTACACTTTCTTTTCTTATGCACGGCCTGTTACTTTTCACTACGATCATGGCTATTGCACAGGCCACCACTTTCTTCAACGATTTAATATCCAGTGCTACGGGAACGCCAAGTAGATACAACTTTGTCATGCTCAAGGTGTAAGGTGGTAGGTAAGATTGGAATACAGAAAGATGGATAAAGTGTTGGTCGGTGGAATCGACGCGCTACTTGCATAATCTGTGGCAAATGTTTGGATCGGATTTTGTGAGTGTGCATGTGATGAGTACTTTTCAAAAGTTCTTTTTTTTGGTTCACTGGATTCCCTTTCTCTTTCCTCTTCCTCCTCCTTCTTCTTCCTCTCACTACGTAACAGATACAACAGCCAGTTTTTATATATATCGATTTTTATTTACGGTCTTGTTTGAAGGTGATCCTCTTGGCTCTTATTCTTTCCTTTTTACATTTTTCTACAGTTTATCTTGCTTATACTAATGCATGCCTTCATTATACCATTTCATACAACACAGTTCGTACTTTATACCTTTTGAAGCTGCTGTCGCTGCCAGATGTTATATATAGCTAGAAGAGCGTAAGTTTCCCTTTTTTCATTTTAACTACTGTATACCATTTATCTATAACCCTGACTAACTACAATCTACCACCCATCTCATCGTGCCACATGTACACTACGAACTTATTCATGCCTTGCTAAGGCTTCCTAACGTGATGAAATGGAGTGCTACTATTACAGCTGACTCATATGGATGATAAGGATCAAGGCCTTATAGGTATATGTATCTTTGTTAGTACTCTTTTCCTATGACATATGACGAGCTTCGTTGTCTCTGCACCATTGGTATATATCAAACTGCTCCTTTCGCGGCCGGTCTTTAACTCCTTCATCCTATGAATTATGCATTCTGGATTCTTCACTAACAATCTTCATTGTGTCTTTTAGGTTTGTCATCTCCAAAATCGTTTATGAACATCTCCTTCTGCGCTGCTTTTGCTTTCACTTATGATTTGACACAACATGCATTTTTCTGTAGCAGGACTGCCATCCTTTGCACTATCTCTTTTCGACTATAGCCTTCCTTCTAAAATCATTACATAACATAGACTTACATTTGATGACGTTCTTTTAATGTTCTATAAAGCATAATCTTGTATTGATTTTTTATACAAAATATAATAAAAACGGTTGTGGACACCCATAATAATATATATATTACACATGACCATGAATATAAAAACCAATAGCATGCTTTGTCCGTTTACTATATGTGTGATAAAAAGAACGAAAATATGCAATGCGTAATCCTTCTTTTTACGAACCTACTACAGAAGGCACCTGGTCTAAATGCAATGTATAGTAAGACCGTTATAGACATCTACATGCATGATGTAATCAAATTATGAGCTTGGGGGACTACATGCGCATGAAAATATCAAGGTGTAAAAAGACCTTGATATTTACTCGAAAAGCTAAATATCAAGGTGTTTGAAAACACCTTTATATTTTATAGAAAAGCTGTATATCAAGGTAATATCAAGCTCTTTTCTACCCCTTGATATTCCCCTGCAAGCCCAGTGCTCCCTTAAAAAAGAAGCAAGCTCTTACTGTTACCTTCATTAATCTTTCAATAAAAGCCTGTCTTCAATGTGTATACTATTTCCGAGTTTGCCATTGACTTTTTCTTTACTGCCATCTTCATTAATCTAATAAAGATTCAAAAGCCAAAAGAAATCGCGTTTATAAGAAACGCACTCTTTATTCCCTCCTTTTCAACGCTGCTGTTCTTTTTAACACACTACATAATAAAAGCTTACTTTTTATGTTACTGTCCTTTTTCCATCGGCCTGCCGCCATTAATAATTGAATGCCAATGCTGTTTAAAAAAAACATAAAGTCCCTCAGCTGTTGCTGTGGGCCGCCCTTGTTAATGTAGAGGCCACTCTGCTGGCTTTGAAAAAAATTGGGGGAGGGGCGGCTTAATGTGGACTCTATAAGGGAGTTGGTCAAGCTGCTGTCAAGCTGTTTTTTTACCCCTTGACATTTTTGTAGAAACAGCGATTTAAGCATCTATCAAGCTGTTTTAACAGCTTGACATATGGTATCCAATTTTGGGCGTGTATGTTACTGCATATGCATGCAAAGAGCAAAGTAGTTCCCCCAGTTTCTTTACATATAGACCAGGTACTAGAGCTGTATCAAGCTGACAGAGGTCTGCATAGCATATTATAGTATGTTATTTTTTGTGCGTATACTAAATGAATAAAATGACCGCAGCAGGTATCAATTTCTATATAGCAGTGATGATTATGATGGTATGGTTATAAGCAACCGAATTTTATTTATTTCAATATTAAAGTAGCAAAACAAAATTACGGGAGCAAACAATATAAAAGCAAAAGCAGAGAGAGCCTTCTATGTATATATATATAAATATATATGTGTGTGTGAATATGCATACAATCTCTAGCTGGTGATGGGGCTAAAAAATACAAGAGTGAATCGCAACAATGCCATGTGTGTTGATGACCAACGGTCCACTCAAAAAGTTCGTACTGCAACTAGGTCAAAGTGAATATAGAAGTGCTACCTCTTCTAAAAAGAGCCATATGAAGTGTGGCAGCACTGACCACCTTTGCAGCAACACTAGGAATGACGTGAGATTGAGCAAGTGTATAGAGGATCCAGTTAGATGTTTGGCATGGGAGATCGTAGCAGCAGTGGTAGCAAGGTGGTTAGTAGGGTGTTAGTCAAAAAGACCAAGAAAAAAAGAAGAGTATAAGAGAGAAAGAATGAAGTACTTACAGCCTTCATCCTATGATGACGCCGCCTACACTTTTGGACAGGAGAACAGATGATCGCGTCCTGAGCTATAAAAATACCCAAAATAAAGTAGTATTAGATAGAGCAATAAACGTTGAAAGTAGTTTGACCACGACAAGAGTAAAAAGTGCTTCATAAATTTGTAATTACGAGCCTTGAGAGAGTGGTGCGTCACGTCAAGAAGGGAGGAAGTAAAGTGAAAAGAAAGAGAAAGGGGCGTGATAAATAGAGAAATAGGTCGATGCAAAATATAGCTACAGTAGCTGCAATACCAAAAGAAAAAATGACCCTGATCAAGCACCAGATAGAACTATCCTCAACCCAATAAAGATTTGCGGCACTGCTCCTACTGTTAGATTTATGCCAACATCTTATTCGGCAACGGAATTACAACAGTTCTACCACTGGCACGTGTTTGATTACCATACTTTACAACTGCCATCTGCCTATATAGACGATGAACCAGCACGATGCAGTCCATGTCATCAGCAAGAAAGTGACTTCGCAATGTCTCTAGGTAACTATCAACAAAGAGCGGCTCATTGCTGCTGTAGATGCTATACCATTTAATAAAAGCAAAAACGTGCTCTTTAAGCTGGCCGTTGACTCTCAACTCATAGCGAAAGAATACTGGATCTTGCATAGCCAAGATATAGGCTCGCCTCAATCCCCTGCCTGGTACAACAACCTGTGCACGTGCACCTCGACGTGATCGCGCTTCTTTGCTCCTATGGAGCTGACCCATAACGCGTATGGTCTTGATTTTTTTGTACCAGTTGTTGACAAAAACTCGGCGTGCTTGTGCTTATATAACGTCGTAAAGAATCGATTTGGGTAGCGATACTGGTGATATGGCGCAATGTGGCAAGAGAGAGAGGAAGACGGTCAGAAGATGGAAGTGGAAGTACGAGTAGGATTACACAGAACTCGATAAGTGTGCTCGACATTCGCTCAGAGACGAAGTGCAACTAGAACAGAACAAAGAAAGTAAGGACAAGAACGCAGGGATGAGAATATCCTGGAAGCACAGTTGTTTGTGGATGAAGGTAAGCAGCATCTTTAGAAAGGTATGAGAAACTTTGAATGAGTGAAATAAAAATGGGCTTTTAAAAAAATGCACACACCTTGTTCGTCAATGCTGGCTGTCTCATCTACATTCACATTGTCTGCTTCGACCTCCCATTCAACATCCTCAGCATCGAGCAAACGATCGGTGCCACCAGTACTGTCTCTGTTTTCCTCCACTCTAAAGACAATGTTCCTCGTCAGAGAACGACAAACGACAACCAGCAGCAGCTACTATATACCATCCAACCTTTCAACAATAAATCATATATCCACTTCCTTGACACTATCCTTTAATTATCTCAATACCAGGAGAGGAAGAAGGAGACGACTCAACAGCATCAATATCATGAATAGCTACATGCCCAATAATAAGCTACCTTATCCTCTTGCTATTATCAATCAATTATCTCGACATACTAAGAGAACGGGAAGTGGAAGGCTCATTCGGAATGTCATCACCAACATCCATTTCATCATTATCCATATTATCTGATGCTTCTGATAGGAAAGGCTGTTCGCCTTCAAAAGTGGCTATAATAGATGGTGCTTACTGTATTCACGAATCAACTGGTTACTACAATAATGTCAACACTTGGAAAATCAATATACCATTGTGATATATTCTTTCTCTAGCCGAATTTACAGTACGCTGGGTGTGCTGCTCTCGTTGTATATGATAACCTCGCGAAAACCGAGAATGCTGCTTCTGGCACATTCCAGACAAAAGCATTCGACTCTTTCTGGATTATAATCCATGATGGGAATGCAATTTGGACGAAGAACAACAAATTGAGATGATTCCTTTTTTTTTGTCTTTAAAAGTCAGCTTCTGAAGTGGTTGGTTTTCGTTTCTTTGCTCCTGTTGCTACTAGATCAAGAAATCCTTCTATACTGTGTTACATATTATGTTTATACATCCACCGCATTATTGCGTTGTGCTCGTAGATAAACGTCATTTGAAAAATATATATATAGCAGTTACATATACGGCATACAATATTATACAAGCTTTTCTTCAACCTGAAGAGCGGTAAGATGCATCATTTTGCATAGAATCGGGGACAGAGTTGCTGCTGCAAGCCCTGTTTATAGGGGATGTTTACATGGGGTAAGATGAAATTGTAAAAAAAGGTGTGGGTGTGACCCCCCATCATCTAATTCCTGAAAGCAAAGTAACTAAAACCATAGCATTGCTCTTAACACACTCATGCATTAGCGCGCTTTTCATTTACTGGTATGGTATAGCCTTGAATGCAGATCAGGCAAATAGTGCATATCTACTGAATTTTGTCTATGTAACCTGGTTAATTTTTTACTTAGTACCCCAATAGCTTGCCACCATATACTAAGCTGTTTTCCAACCACTTGACATTTGGTTTTTCGTGTGGTGTGGGTGCTTGGGCGATTGTTGTTGTTGTTCATTTTCTATTGACAAAAGATAAGTTGCAGTTAAGCAAAAAAGGAGGGGCTCATAATTGACAGACTGAACTTTATTTCAACTGACAATGAAACCCTGAGCTGAGATGACGAGACAGCATCGATCTGGCTTAAAAGGAACAATCTCACTTACTTACTGTTTTGCTTTTTACTTTCAGCACTCTAACAGTGATACCACCGATGTCTTTCCCATTCCAAATCATTCAGGCTACACATTTCTCAGGTAAGGGGTAGATCTACAAATTCAGTAGTAGTAGTACTATACTTGCTTGCTTGGTTACCAAGTCGTTGTCATTCCTGTTTTTTAAAAGTAGGAAGAAGATTAATAAACCAGTATTCGAGGTAATCAAGGTAATCCAGTGATGTCTCATATTTCAAAACTTCCAGACATTAACGCCATCCATTCTGTCAACAAATATATAGGCCACGCTACTAAAACTGGAATGAGGCTGCTTTGAACTTATAAGTAAAATAATAAAGAAAAAACACCTCTGCTTACTACAACCAGCTAGCGGTCACTATGTAAGTTATACCATGGTCATAAATAACGATGATTAGTACTTTGTTGTTTTTTAACGCTCACTTTTTCTTATGACTACATTTTTTTTATCCCATGTTTTTTAGATCATTCCGTTTTGTGCCATTCGGTGCATTTCTTATACAGTAAGTGTCTGCTTATTCATACGTTCTATTCAACATGTCTGCGTCTAAAGCTAACGTTTTCTCAGCACTAAATGGTAAATATCCTGCATCTCTACAGTGTTTCAAAAGTCCATGCTGTGTAAGATTGGACTCTCAGATACCTTACTGACATATAAACTTATCATCACATAGTATTTCTCTTAAAGTCAGGCACAAGTTCCCCTGTAGGTTTTTATCAACATATATAGACCTTTCAATATGATGGGTAGCCAAAGGCTGGATAATCGACATATAGAAGGACTCATGTTATTATGTTGTACTGTGGTAGTATACTAGTGGACGTTTGGAGGGTTTTGTTTATAGATATAATAGAATATAGTATTTATCTCAAAAAATGGAACCAATAAAACTTTTTCTTTATAACATCTAGATGGGATTGATATTGTTGTATAAATGTAATAGATTGGATGGAGTACTTTTAAAAGCATCTATGATTCGCGAAAACAATCCAAGTCTGAAGATAAAATCAAGAATAACGTAGGACAATGTCAACGGAGTATTAGTGGAATACATGGTAGTATGTAGGAATATAAGGGGAATATGTACAGATACTACCTTAGTGTTACCTGAGGGGAATACGTGGGAATATGGAAGTGTGTTCTTGGGGGAATATTTGTTAATATCAGGGGAATATCTAGACATACTACCTCAGGATTATTAGGGTAATATGTGGGTAATATCAACTCATATTCCCCTCATTTTACCCCAAAACTCCCTAGGTAATACATGTTTCTTTTTACAGTAATATATAGAAAAGAAAACGCTCCCACCACCGTTCTCTCTCCTCTACCTTTTTTGTGTTGCTCATGACTGTTAAAAAATGATTAATGCTGCGATTTTTTTTCGAAGGGCGCAGTCTTTAGTAGAGCATCGTCATTGTATTGAGTGAATGATGTGTCGTTATATTTAATAGATGGAGCATAATTATTAATGAAAGCATCGTTGTTATGCTCAATAGATACTGCATAATGAATTCGGAAGAAGTATGTAGTGGAGAAGCAGGTAGCGAAGGCCAAGTTGAACCCTGTACATCCTGATCAAAATAATCCTACTGAAAGTAAGAAGGGGGCCGCTCCTCACAAGATGGAGAAGAGGCTGTAAAATTTTTTTTTTAGATTTTTAGGGGATAAAAATCGGGGATCAACCTAGCTTCAAATCTTATACTATTCTTATACCAGTCTTATATCAATATCGCTCTTATACTAGTCTTATACTATTCTTATACCAATGGTATAAGATATACTTATACCATCTTATACATTACTTTTCCCACTGTGGTATGACTAAGTGCCGGCGGCGCGGATTTAACACACGCATCGTATTGAAATAACTCTCTCGGATAGTATAGTGGTCAGTATCCCCGCCTGTCACGCGGGAGACCCGGGTTCAATTCCCGGTCCGAGAGCTCATAAAGAAATATTTCTTTATTGTACATACTTTTTGCAGGTATGTTGTCGAAGTCTTTTTGGTGGATCAATACCGTAGCTAATAGAAGAGAGATAACAAAAGAATAAAGAAGAATAAGAATGACTTGAAAGATGATCTTTATTATTTAATGATGGAGGGGATATTTATATGTTTCCTAAGACTATTGTGTAATGATAACTCTAATGAGATGACTATGTGTTGTGTTGATGAATGGATACGTGTTCAAAGGATGACGAACTACGTGTTTTGCCAAACGTGCATTAACGACAATGGACTACGTGTTCGAATGATGGTAAGGTGGGACAAAAAGGGAAAAGGTAAGACCATCAATTCTGGCTACGACAATATCCCCTCCCCAAACTATTGGTCGTCCTCAACAACAAAGCAATCTGACCGGCAGCATCGAGATAACGGTGTTAAGTGGCGCGAGTCGCGGTAGGATCATACCAAGGATCAGTGGATACCTTTGAAGTAATATGGATTGGACGGAGGCGATCAGTGTGAACCCAAGAAGAATAAGCTTGGCCTTGTAAATCTTCGAGCTTGTAAACATCGGTATCCGGGTTAACAGCAATGACCTTGTAAGGACCCTTCCAATTAAACTCAAGGCTGAGCTTATTTTCGTGGCACATCAAAACGTGGTCACCAACAGAAAATTTCTGAGGTTTCATGATGGCGTCCCAACGGCCTTGTCCTTCACGGCATTTTCCTTAAGTTGGCTTTCAGCAAGCAATCGTGCTTCACACAAACAGCGAACTTCTGGGACACGACCAGAGACGGCAAGGGAGTCGTCGTGCTCCGAATCAGGCAGCAACAAAAAGGGACGCAAGTGGTCACCTAGTAGTCTTGGTTCAACACCGTATGTTAAGAAGTAAGGGGAAAAACCAGAAGTACAGTGTTTGCGGACACGGCAGGCAAAAACGGCAGGTTGCATGAATTGATCCCACTAATGGATCCTGCCTTGAGTATACTTACGCAACATTTGCTTGAGGATGCCGTTGGTTCGCTCAACCTTGGAGTTTGTGCGAGGGTGGAATGCCGAAGTGAAAATATGTGTGACCTTAAGGCGACCCAGGTAGTGAGTGAGGGCCTTAGACATAAAATTGGCGCCGCGATCTGTCAAGATTTCTACCGGACACGAGAAAGGCAGCACAATTTCTTCATAGATAAAGTTGGCAATGGCTTCACCGGTGGCATCAGGTACAGCACGAGCGATTGTCCAGTTCGTGGCATAGTCGACAGCAACAAGTAACCAGCGATTACCACTGACAGTGATAGGTAGTTCACCAACGAAATCCAAATGCCATCGAGAAAAAACGGGCGGTACTTCCAAAGGTTTCATTGGTGCATGGTGAACATGGCGATCAGCATTGGCAGCAAGTTGGCATTCTTGGCAGGCTGCTAACCATTCTTGTATGTCCGCGCGCATATCGGGCCACCACCATCGTTTGCGCATCAAGTCATATACAGTTGTTTTACCCGCATGCCCAAAAGATTTGTGAAACTGTTCCACTAAGTCGGCACGACGAGCAAATAACACATAGCGCACTTCTTGAACGTCGTCACCAATTCAAACCTTGCAGTAGACCTGATCGTTTCGCACCACGAACTTGTCCTTGTGCTTTTCCAGCAAATCGTTGTACATAGGCGGTCTCTTGTCATGAAAAACAATTGCTGACCAACTAAGGGTCGAACTCGAAAAGGACCTCAAAAAGGCTAACATAACAAAGGAAGTAAGGGACGAGAACCGTACTGCAATAATGGGATGGATTAGGGCTTTTGCAAAATTCCTCAAATCCTCAAATCCTCGATTTTCTGATGCAATGTTAGAGGGTAACACCTCTGGTGCAGATTCCTCGCAGGGCGGCAAAGAATTCCGATTCCAGAACACTAAAGGGCTGTTCACATCTCAGCAACAGCATAGAATTTCGGCCAGTCGGACTCTTGTACGGTCTTGACTGCATATAAGAAATCTGGCTCCAAACTGGGTGCCTTGGTGACACATGCGGGGCCATCCCTCCTGGATAACAAATATGGTACATGGTTGTCCTTGCCTGGCTTGTACTGGATATCCAGATCATATAGTTCCATCTCGGCGATCCATCACATTAGACGTGGTGTTGGCTTGGTCTTGGACCGGAAGTACTTGAGCGGATGATGATCCGAATAGACAGTGTAGCGGCGACCCT